GTAATTAGAAAACATCAAATTTTTGAGGATTTTCCTAGGAGAAAAATTTGTTGATTACAAGAAGATGAAGCCACTGAAGAAGTTTTTGATGAATATTAATAATTTGTTGAAAAGAAGTCTGTACTGCGAATCGTTAGTCATTTAGTCATAATCATGAACAACCACCAGGTATTTTTCCGAAGTTAAAAATACTCACATCATGAGGACCACAACCAGTCTCCATATTGTTGTACCAAATTAGCCTTCCCCCCACTTCCTTCTTAGGCTATTCTGCCATGGCTCTGCATCTTACAGTCAATCCAGATAGCATGATGCCATTTCAAGCGTTAAAAAACTGCCGTTTCAGGTTAGCTAAAGATTGAAATTTTACTTAAAATGGAGATTTATTCAAGGATACTGATAGTTTTTTTTTTATTATTATTTTAGTATAGATATTACGATATAGTAATATTTTTCTAACATCAACATCATCTCTACAGTATGTACTTGGTAACTTTTGCTTCATCGGGAGTAATTTTTCACAGTTAAATAGCCAAAGAGGTCCTCCAGGGTCGTTTCACACCTGATATAACAAAATAAATATTGAAGATAAGTTGGTTGGGTGTTCAGTGAAAAATAAAAAGTAAAAATAGATAAATGGTATTTATTTTTATTTTTGCCGACGTTCCGGCCCGAAGTTCAGGCCTTTGTCAGGGATAAAGATGGAAAGACCAGATAGCAATAGGTATGAGAAACTATTAACATTAAAAAGAAAATAATTATATAACAGTAACAGAAAGAAACTTATGAAATAAATAATAACGGCAACAAAGTTGGGGACTAATAAAATAATCATAATGAAATTAGGTAACAAAAAGAACGAAAAAAATTAATTAACAAAGGAATTTAATGGAATATTACGACATAAAAATGTAAGAGTCAGACATATAATAGATGGGGTGACGTAGTTCCTAAAATATGATGTCTTGGAATACTAAAATGAAATGAGATTGACATAGAATAAAATGTAAAAGAGAGAGTAAAAGAATATGAATTTATTTAAAGAAAATAATAGATGTAAATAGAAAAATTGAGATACTGTAAAATCTATCAAAACATAATGATTACTATAGAAGAGAATTAAAAGGTTGAAAATAAGACAATGAGTAAAAGTATCAATATACACGAAGGTATATTAAAGTAAAAAGTAACGAGAAAAAATCAAAATAAATAATTCTGTTACTCTCCCCTCCCCCTTTATTTTTATAGTTGCAGCCAGTTAAAATCAAATAAAATGTAATCTGATGGAAAAAATCATAATAAAATGTTTGCAACAATTGATTATCAAAATTGCTTGGGATGTAACTTCACTGATTCACTGAGTGAAAGACTAATAAAAAAAATATTCTTTTTGTGGGGACTTTTTGACCTAAGTTGCATGCTTACATCAGCGCTATTCATACAGAGGATGCCGGCCGAGTGGGAAGATGTCAACTAGCACTCATAATGCATGAGCGTATGTGGCTTTAGTGCCCTTTCTCAATCTCCACTGGATCTCCATCTCAGTGATGCGGCTGATACAGAAGCGCTGGGATCTCTTAGAATCTTGGCTTTTCTTCCACACGTGGGGGAAAGGAGCCGAATTGGAGCTCCCTCGGCTGACTGTAAATATTGTAAATAAGCATAAATGTTTTATTTTATTTTTTTTCTTATTTATTCATTTATTTTTATTTGTGTTGTATCATATTTTATTTCATCTGTTTTACTAAGCTTTCTTTTTCTTATAATTTCTGTTATTTTTGTAATCGTAGATATTGTATGAATGAGTTTCTCACATCTCAAATACTCAAAACCCTTGATTGAGGCAATTTTTTTTTTTTTTTTTTAAATAAGATTTTTAAAAAAGCTGTAGTTCTGCATCATTCGTACGAGTGTCATTTCTGAAGGCCTAAAACTTTATTATTTTTATTTGTGTCTCCCACTGTGATAATAATCAATAACTAACTTTCTAATTATACTATATGCAGTCTACTAATACTCCACCATTATAAAAATGGTTCGAAAAATAAACTAGTAAGTAAACTTCATATAGTGTTTGGTTAATTGTATCCAACTAACATATTTTCAGTAGGAACTTTTGGCCGAGACCATAAACTCTTTTTCTTCTCTAAAACGCAATCCTTTCTGGAATCCGCGATACAGAGAGCATACATCACCATGGTAACAACCCTCTTGAGCCCTTCTCATCCCACGCACTGACCTTCCTCTCATGTTCTTTCCCCGAGAGGGAACGCGAATACAGGAGAAATAACTCCCATACAGCCATATTTCCTCGATTTCCGGCCCTTGAAGAGACATCCCTGTAATCCTAGCCTGGGGATTACGGGAGGAGGACGGATCCTTACCGGTAATAAGAGACTCCGTCTTTTCTTCGCTTTCAATGGACATTCCATCTCTCTGAGTTAGCAGAGGCTAAATCCTTTAGAACATTCGTATAAAATATAAAATATTGAAAAAGTTAACAAACTTTTCGTTAATTTGTACAAAATACAAAGGAACCATGATTTATTTATCCTTGTATATATTTTAATATATTTGTATGTATGTATATATATATATATGTATATTTACAACTTTTAAATATTTAATATATCATACGAGACACTACTGGTCCTGGTTTTAATTAAATATAAAACATAGAGAAACAAAGAGGTTTACGTGACTAATCGTCAATTTATAAAAAAAAAAAATCTTAATTATTTAATTAAATTTTTGTTCATCTTTAGAAGTTTATATTTTTTCATTATATGCTACTTTGACTATTAAATCAAGTGAGGTATGTGGTGCATGCTACTGCCTTGTAACTGACCCGGTAACTCATTTTCTGATCCAATGTATCGAGTTCAACGAACCAAGAAATAAGTACTTGAAGACATTTATCACTGAATCCAGAGAAGATGCTAGTGTGGAGGAGATACTGAAAATAGACACTGTGAAAAAAATAAACCAACTGTATTATATCATATAGGCTGTTCATAGAACTGTTAAGTGGTATAGTTAATCATATAACATATATTAATGCTTATTTATATTGCCATTTGTCTTATACCTCTGGAATATTAAAACAAAAAAAAGTGTATTATAGAATAAAAATGTGTTTTACTAATTGTTATATATATATATATATATATATATATATATATATATATATATATATATATATATATATATAGAGTTTACTAATCTGTTATTATATTAGTCATACTTAATGCTGTGGACATTGTTAATTTTATGTTTGAATGCAGTACTAAACTCAAGATCTAACATTGTTAATTATACCATTGTATTTATTTGTACAGGAATTTCCTTAGACAAATGAAATAAACTATACTACTACTATTTTTTCATTATGAAATTGAACGTTGTTCTATCAATACTTAGCTTACTGTGTTTGTTTTTCGTTCCCTGATTTTCTATTAATTAATTTTATAATGACTTCGTCCTGAATATTTATCATCTATAAATTATTTTATCCTAACAACATTTTTTTTTTTAAACAAACAAACAAAGTGTATTTCTTTAAGACTATAAAAGGTTCCAATCCACCTAGAGGTTTGTGGCTTTTGCAAAACCACACGTTTTGAAGTAACTGCGGTATACACTTTCAGCTACATTTTCCAGGTTATATATTATTTTTATCGCACACGAAACTGTTATTTTATGTCCAGTTTTTTCCTTCCATCATCTGATAACTTCCTTGGGGTATAGTGTTTTCAGTTACAGAGCTTCATTTTCAGAGTGGGGTTTGGTCACATTTATATTTATTTTTATTATCTTTCATCCATTTCCGAATTCATTTTACAGCATATTAAATGATCTTTCCTATGAAATACGATACTTAATTAGATTAATGTAAGACTTTTTTTTCAAAATCAAATTTAAACTTTAAATTTTTTCTGAAAGTACATATTTTAAAATTTATATATTTTTTCGTATCAATAGGTAGTCTTGGAGTGAATAATTGAGAAAAAATTAAAATGTGGGATGATTGTATATTCATTACTAAAAAAAAATAGATACTTTTAAAGATTTCCATGAATTTAACTCTTTTATTTACATTTTCTTGAATATGAACCAGAATAAGGATTCAAATATGGAGTCTAAATTTACATTTACTATATTACGTAACACAGTCTATTTATTATGAGAGACAGCAATGTGGCCAACTAGTTTCTAGTAATTTCCTTTTTTTTTATTTATTTATTTAGTAATATAATATTCTTTATTATGGACGGTGGTTATAGTGTGGTAAGACTACATTCACAAACTATATATATATATATATATATATATATATATATATATATATATATATACATACATGATATAAAATAAACCGAAGCAAAATAACAACTAAATAATAATAAAAAAGTATATGTAATGAATAAGAATTAAATAGCTTAAAGATTAGTAAATAAAAAAACAGACGTACCTATATACACTATTTACAATCAGGCGAGGAAATTCTGAGGCAGTATTGTCCTAACTCTGAGGAAAAGCAGGACTCCGGGAGATCCCTGCTCTTCTCTCTCATCCGTGTAACTGATGCTAAAGCTAATGGAGATTGATTGAGAGCGCTTTATCCACAACGCCAACCTATAATTTTCAAATTATAATTTAAGTTGATTATATTTTGAGCCAATTAATTTCAATTATTGGTGAACACTATTATAAATGTCCTTGAGACAGATTGTAATATTTTTCAATAAAGAAGCTTAAAAAAAAATTAATTTAAGAACATTTAAAATGGCGATATTCAGATGCCGAGCTGACATGGACCGACCCAAGAGTGATAAATACAGTAACGATTGTCCTGTTAAAGTTTTAGCGTTTTTATTTTTATTTGAGATCTATAAAGATCATTTGTTGTATTACCTTCCATTTCGTCATAGTTAGGATTCACTCTTCTAAGATAACTGTAGCAGTAAAATATAAAACCAAAGAGGTTATTGCTTAACCTAATGTCCATCATCTCTCGAGGATCAAGAAGGGACGAACATAAAAGGAAAATAGGTTAGGTTCTTGCCTTGATCCCCCATCCTCGGAAGGAAAATTGGCTTCAACTATAGTGGAGGGATCACGGAAAATTTCTTCCATTTGCCATGAACTATTTAAGAGGGCCCATAAAAAGTGATGTTTAGTGGATATGCCACTTTTTAATACAATAAGAATTTGAATTTTAAATTTTACAGTTGTCATAAGACCGGTTCATACATCCGAGTTGGGTAAGACGGTAATATTTGTAGTATATCATATGAAAATATTTGACTATATTCGTACTAAAGGAGAACATGTTCTGGGAAGTGATTAAGAATAATTCCGAGTTGTATAATGTAACAATTATTGTAAGAATACTTGTTTAAACTATCACAATCCTTCTCTAATCATTTGGAAAGGAAATGAAACACAAAAGGATTGCAATACTTTCATCCAAAGTTTTTTTAGCCGAGGGACCACGATGTGCTGTATTTTCCTTTATACTTTATCAAAACCATTGTTTGACTAATTTTGAAAATCATCTTCACTACTAATTTTGAAAAAAATTAAAGGCAAAACTGTGCGAAATAATCGCTATTCAATAGCCGAAAAGCTGTATATTAATAATTGAAGATTTAGTTATCTTTAAGTTATTTTATTTTTTACTGTTAATTCTTTTTGATTATTATTTAGTTGTTACTTTGCTTTTGTTTATTTTATTTTTTCTGAATATATAGTGTGAATGTGTTCATATATCACTATAATTATTGTCCGTATGACAGATTGTTATATTTCTGAGTAATTATATTTAAAAAAATATATTATTGAAGATAACTTGGTTGGAATTTTCAGTCACAGTACAAAGTAAAAATAAATAAATTATATTCATTTTTAATTCTTTTGTGCCGACGTTTCTGCCTAACTTTGAGACCTTCGTCATGGTTAAGCAAAGGCAAGATAAAATATAATATAAATATTGATAGATAAAAATGTTATATAAATTAAGCAAGTATAAAGTAACGGCAACAAAGCAAATACCTACAAAATAGCGGTAGAAAAGTTAGGATATATAAGATAATTAATTAATTGATTAAATGAAATCAAGAAAGAAATGAAAAATGAAGTCTAAAATTAGGGTTTAATATATTCAATTAAATTGATTATCGGATGATATATAAAATAACGGTAAGAGTAAAAATAAAATAACGAAGTAAGAGACTTACGAAATTACATAGCAAACTTAGGAAGTTATAAGATGAAGGTAATAAAGTGATGAAGTAAACAGTGAGAAAATAACTAAAAGAAATTTATGTTTTTTAATATAATGTAGCGCCAAAAACTGTTCTTACGATTATCATAAAACTTACCTTAAGTCTTATGATCACCTTTCTTTCTATTAATTGTCTTTTTACTATCTATAAGATAATAAATAGGCCTTAAAAAAACAAAGAAAAAAAGTACATTCCATGCCCCATTGTTTCAAATATTCTTAGCTCGCAATTAAGTGTATATTTATATCATATTGAAAATAACAAATGACCATGAATATCCCTTATATTCGGTATTTAAGATGGTGCTGGAAGATATTTCAGTACTTAGGAATTTAATGTCTTGCTTTGTCTTCGGTGGTAAGTGTTAAGTATCCCCGCCTACCATGCGGGAGACCTAGGTTCGATTCCTCGCGGGGAGGATATCTTTTTGCCATAGGGCAGTGCAAGGACAAACCTTGACAAAAATATATATGTTTATTATACTTTATGTACTTATATATGCAATTGTTGAAAAATAAGTATGAATGATCAGAGAAATAAATACACACATTAAATGTTAACGTGACAAACTATTAAATACACTATTGGTACATTAATTTTGAAAATGACCCACACTCAGTTGAGTATTGATTTCTCCTAACAAAAATGTAGATATAAAGGAAGTAATATAAATGAAATAATAATAGAGATAAAATTAAGGAGGGAAGAAAATTATGAGAAATATAAAACAAAATCGTATCCATTCAACTATATCAAAAATATAAAAGGGAAGTATTAAGATAATAAAAATATAAATGTGAAGAGCAGATGAAATGAAAAATCTAGAATAACTTTTACATTATTCCCAACCCAGTCAGTTATATTTTTTATTTTTTTCCCCTGATGTTGGAGAACAATATCAACAAATTTGGATGATTGGATCACAACACGAATTTCTTGTCGATGCAATAGATCAACCAAGTCTCATATAAGGAAAAAGATGATTTCTCAACTGAGCGTTTTCCCTTAATATATACTCGTACGGTTTGACTTAATTAAGATTCATTAATTAATTGATTAATCAAGAGGAAGACTGGTGCTTGAGCGTGATCCTTGATACACTACTTCCTTACTAAATAATGAACCCAATACCCTTAATGAGCTGTAGTGGTACAGGTTCCCAACATACATGTAGATAATATATTAATTGTAAAAATAAATGAAGTGATATATTTACATAAGTTAAAATATTGAACGGTCTTTTTTTTTAAACTATTTTATCAGGTAATATAACATTCTATTACAGTATGATCAATGATTATTATGAGAAAAAGTAAATTCACACCATATTTACACAAAATGTAAATAAATAAAATTAAAAAAGAAGCTTAATGACGACTAACTAATTATCAAAATATAAATGTAACAAATAAACTTAAAGATAAGTAAAGAAAAGCAACACATGCATGCCTAAATATACTATTTACAATCAGACAGAACGTAAAACCAGGCTTGTCCTTCCAGCAATGGACGGAAAAGCAGGATCCCTGCGCCATTCTCTCATCAGCGTCACTAGTAGAGCCATTGGTGGGTGTGCAAGGGAGTTATAGCCACATACACTCATGTCTTAAGAGGAGAATCCATTATACCTTATACATATTATAAAAGCTTGCGGGACCATTTCAACCTACGATGAGGGTTGTATTGACGACTGGTGCTAGATAGGGATTGTACAAGGGAATTAGAATGATGCTTTAAGTAAAAATACTCCTGCAGAGTAATACAGATGAGTGGAATCAGCGGTGGTTGAACACCACCAAAGGAGCTATCTTAAGGAAATCTTTTGACGATTTCTTCAGGACTCTACTGTGTCTCTCAATTCCTTACAGGATATGGGATACTCCGCGCTAAGTTACGTAGGCATAGAAAAGATATATATCCTCTATGCCCGAGATGCGGATTACCGGAGACGGCTGAGACATAGTCAACTGCACCGCTGGAATGTTACAGAAAACTGGATTTTATGCCCTAACGGAAAATCAATTTCCTCCACTAGTGACGGAGCAGAACTGCTCATATTACAAAAATTTTGTGTATGGGTGGAAAGGTGGAAGGGTGTGCTAGAGACAGATTGTAATATTTTTTAATAAATAAGTTTAAAAAAAAACAAATTGGTGGAAAGCTGTTCTGGGCTCGGCACATTTCAATCTGGGGAGAAGAATGAACTATTTTCAGAAGGAACTATTTTCTAACTGAAGACAGAGAATGATTTTCTACTGAAGAAGAGAACGTTTTTTGTATTCAAAAATCTTGTCAGTTCCTGTCCACCAGTACACTTTAATTCCATCCAGCTTCCTTACTCAGACACAGTCCGGTATCTTGGCTTTCATTTAGACTGAAGACTAACGTGGAACCCACATACTAGACTCAAAATACAAGAACTCAACCGACGATACGGCCAGCTATACAGACTACTAAACAGAAAATCCAAACTTTCTATTGAAAACAAATTACTTATCTACAAGACAATACTGAAACCTATATGGACATACGGACTTGAACTGTGGGGGACAGCAAAAGCTTCTAACATCAAACGTATTCAATCCTTTCAATCTAAAGTCCTTCGAACAATAGTTGATGCTCCGTTCTATGTAAATAACAAAATCCTACACCATGACCTTAATATCCCATTTGTCCTAGACCTTATTCCAGAAAAATTCTCCAAATTTCACCAGAACCTTACCTATCATCCAAATCCCCTTGCACAATCTCTATCCAGAACCACCCATCCTTACAATCCTCCTCGAAGATTGAAGCGGCAGTGGCCCAGAGACCTTTTGTAAATAAGCATCTATTGGAGTTTTGGCAATGGCCAGATCCTCCACTCAAGCCCGAGTGTGTATGATTAGGTTAGTTCTTTTGTTTATATACATTTATTTTATTTATTTTTATTTTATTTTATTGTATTTATTATTATTAAGTTTCTGTATTATTATTTTTTTTTTTATTGTAAATAGAGTGTGAGTGTGCTTTCTCTGAACACTATTATAAATGTCCTTGATGTGACAGAATGTAATATTTCTAAATAAACAAATATACAAAAAAAAATCTTATATTTTTAATTGTAGTGATGTCATACTCATAGTTGTATATCCCTTCACTGCAAAACCCGTCTAGCCGGAATGCAGGGCAGGGATGAATAAATAAATAAATTTAAGTAAAAATGCTCTGAAATAAACCACCGTGAACACATTCATATCTGGTATAATATTGACATTATGCTTCTAAAAAACCTGAACTGATCTTTTTTTCTTCGTATGGATGGCAAAATAGGGTTCTAGGATATCACATCGCTTCTGTTAGCCGCATCACTGGTATTGAATGCCACTGGAGACTGAGTGACAGCATTATAGTTTTATTTAATGCATTCATATTTTTTCAAATGCAGTTTTCTTTTTGTAATATTAGAATAAATTAAAATTAATTCCTATCGTCAGAACTTAGTTATAGAGAATTACGAAATGAATATATTTAATAGTTCACAGTTGCATTATAAACGAAGGAGATGTATTCATTTTACTTTTTACCGATGTCTCGATATTATCTAATATTTAAATATAATTTTCTTACATATATACAACTAGATATAATTATAATTATTCATATTGTTTTTTCCTCTCTATGCTTCTTAAGTAGTTCTGCAATGTATGGACTCTTATTTCTATATTTATATTTTACTTATTCCATTTTTGTCTCTATTCACATTGTACTCTTATCTATAATTTCTTGATTCTATTTTATATGTATATGTAAATATATACATATTTATGATTTATTATTTCATAGATATATTATTTTTTCCTTTGTATCCATCCGTATCTCCAAATTCCACAAATTCAGGTCATCAAAATTCCCCAATACCTATCCTTACCCTTATTTTCCAGTTCTAAGTGAAACTCCTAGCTGAACACTCCTGTTAGTCTCCATTTTTTATTTTATATAATTATTTATTTATTTTTGTTTTCTTTTCTTTTCTCCACACTCCTATATGTCTATTCTTTCATATTATATCATTTTTCATCGGGTCGAAACGTTGGCTTTTAATATAATAGTTTTGCCACTATTTAGCCTATTGATGACCGCCACCCCGGACCATCTCCTTCCTTTATAATAAAATATATATATTTTTTTTAAATCTCTACGAGATACGCGGATATCGTCGCATTTTCCAAGACAGGAAGGACAGCGCTAATCTTGGATCCAACTGCTCGCTTTGAGAGCAATGACCTCGATCAGGCGGGTGAAGTGAAAAGGGGAAAGAAGAACACGTACGGTAAATGTATCCCTTTCCTAAAAGATAAATTCCGTGAGACCTTCGGAGAGAGAGAGAGTTCACCGTGAGAGGCCTCTGGTTTGGGTCTCGCGGAACTATCCCAAAAAGAACAAGGAGCTTCCTCGAGGTGTCGACATTAAGGACGTAGCGAGGTTAGCTGAAAATATAGTCCTCGAATCCCTGGGAATCATTCACCACCACGTGCATGGCTAGCCCGAGAGTTTTAATTTTTGTATTTATTTATTTATTTAATGAATAATTGAAAACAATAGAGATAAAGAGGGAGAAGTGAGAGAAAGGGAAACTAAATGTTAAAAAAAAACAAAAAAAAAAAAAACCTTTTTTTTTTTTTTTGTTTATTTAATGGAATTTACAACTGTATACAAATACAACAAGTAAATATGCGCAAATATAAATAATGACATGTACAGGCTTGAAGAGTTACTACCCAGTGGTAGCATTCTCTAAATAATTTTAAGTATGAAGATCACGAGGCCATCTCCTTTTCAGACGCCTAGGAGGATTATCAGGAATCGAGAAAGAAGCAAGAGTGGAAACAAGCGGATTTGGATGGGACTGAAGTTTATCATGAAAGGATAGATATCTGGCTCGAGCTAAATCAGCGACATATGGTACATTAAGGTCTTTATGAATGGTTTTATTTGTGACAAAGTATGGATCATTAAGGATTTTACGGAGGATTTTGGATTGTAAGGATTGGATACGATAGGAATTCGATGGTTTGGTGGAGCCCCAAAGCTCAACTCCGTATGTCCATATAGGTCTTATTATAGTTATGCAGATAAGTCTTTTGTAATTAATAGAAAGTTTGGAGCGTTTGTCTAGTAAGTGTTGGAGCAGTCGGAAACGTCGAGCAGTTTCTTGTCGTTTCAGTCTAGTATGAGGATAAGACGTTTCAGCCAAGTAAGACGTTTATCCAAATGGAGTCCTAAGTAGCGGATTTGCTCAACAGGAATAAGTGGAGTATTATTGAAAGTTACTGTAGGACAAGACGTCATAGGTTTACGACGGAGGGTAAAGGTGATTTGATGGGATTTGTTGGAATTTATTTTTATTCTCCAATTTTTACACCATTCTTCAAGGCTTGTGATATGTGATTGAAGAGTTTGGGATGCAATTAAAGGATCGTTATTAACAGATAGCAAACATGTGTCGTCGGCGTAAGTGGTGATGACAGTGTCAGGATGGGTTGGGATGTCAGCTGTATAAACTGTGTAGAGGATGGGATACTACCTTGTGGAACGCCTGCAGATTGAGCAAAGAGGGATGAGAAGACATTATTTTGGTTTACTTTGAAGTATCTATCAGTAAGATAGGAGCGGATAATGAGGAAGTATGTAGGGGGTAGGACTTTTCGGAGTTTGTACAGAAGACCCGGGTACCAGACTCGATCAAACGAAAAAAAAACATGAACATCTATTTTACTAATATTAAGTAATACTTCTGTATATCTATATATAAGTTTATATATTGTCCTAAGGATAGAACAGTATGCTGTGTATATAGCAACCCAATATAATTGGGCAGCAATCCTTCATATTTTATATTTTATGAAAATAAAGTGTTTCTCTCTTTTCTCTCTCTATGCACTTAGATTTTAACTTATAGTAAATAATAAAATCACAATCACAAGTTTTATTACATGCCTTAAGCTGTCTATTAGCTGACTGTTCCATCCACTGATATTATATAGAGACTGGTCTGCATCGGCAGGGTAGTTGTCTGTAGAGGCTCTCTGCAAGTATTAACATTTTTCATGCTCCTCGGATGACAGGGCCTCTGATGATTTATTCGCTTTAGCATTAATCATCAGTCTTCTATAGGAGGATCATCCCTTCCATAGGAAAAAAAAGAAATGTTCTCGATTCCTCTGTCACTAACGATTGGATTCACTTCAACATCGCTATTCAAAAGGGACTTTTATATCTTAGAAATTTAATTTTCGCGTCTTTAATACTTGACTGATTTATAAATGACTCTTAAGACCAATAATAGCTGATAGGGCCAATAATAGCTGTGAATGATTTGAGCGAGGGTTCCAGAGTTACTGGTTGTGTTTGTTGTGGTTCGAATCCCATCCGGACAAGTCAATTTTTATTTCGTTTTAATCTCCTAAAATGATTCTTTATACCCCAACAATTAAAGACTTATAAAAGACCCATTTGCAGAAATATTTTTCTCCACCAATACCAGTACCTATTGCCAATACCAGTCTGATGAATTACAATGAATCATAATAGCAGGTATGATTGAACTTCATTAATGGCAATTGGATTAGATTTATTAATCCAATCATTCTGATTTTATTACTTATTACTTTATTATGTTTCGATATCAATTATTATTGTATTCTATTATTTATTGACATAATTTATTATTAATATTTATAATATTTTTATTTAACTACCGCTTAGTAAAAATAGAATGTTTGCACAAAAAATGTGCACTTCAACAATTTTTCATTTTTTTTTAAACATTGAGCACCAATTTACTTACCAATATGTTAAGGAATCGAATAAATATTTTGTCGATTAGAATATAATGGAAATGATAAGTCAAATCTATATGCAACATAATTTTTTTATGAGCGAATGAGGATTATTTTTATACTCCAAATAAGTTTTGCAACTTTTTCATGTTTTTTTTACTAAGTTGAAGATTAGTAGTTATTTCCTGTTAAGTGATAAACTACATGGAAATATTGCAATACTTGGAATAATCACATTTCCTAGATTACCTGAAAATCCATAAATGTCCTTAAACAATTCCTACGATGCCATGATTCTATTCTAAAAATAACTAAACAGCTTGTATGATTCTTTGTCTCCATTCTCCGTTTTGACTACGGTTACTTGGTGTATGGAGGGATGTTCGCAAGACTGGAGGCATTCATGAACAGACTGAAGAGACCCATGAATTGCTTCATAAGATTCATTTTTGGGATTCCCGGATATACCCATATTTCCTCCCTATACATTGAGTTGAACTGGCTTTATCCTACTTTCCGAGGAAAATTCCTTTTCCAAGTCTTCAGAACCAAAGATCCTTCCTACATCCTAGAACTTGTTTCTCTACTTTCCTCTATCCACACTCTTAATAGCAGATCTCGACTATTGTCCTGCCTATATAAATATTTCCTCCCATAAAACAACTTCTTTCCGAAAAACCGTCGTCATTCGTGCTAAATCCTTTCGAAACTCCTTACCTATATCCATACGTCAAATCACGTCCACAAATTCCTTCAAACTACTCCTATTCCACCACCTAATACACATTCAAACTTTCGAGAGTTTCTAAGAATTTTTAGGTTATGTGAATACAATTGCTCACCAAGAGTTGACCAAATGTTAAGAACCATTTTATTTTGATATTTATTTTCCTCTCTGTATTCTGTGTATATATCTGCATGCCAGACTGATGTATATATTTTTTGAACTCGGTTATTATTTTAAGTGGATTTTAGTCCCAGAATAAAATTATTTTTTCATTTAGAAATAGAAATAGAAAATAATTTTATTCTGAGACGAAGTCCCTTCAGAATAACAAAAAATTACAAAATGAAAATGTTATATCTGGCCGAATAAAAACAAACATAAAAAGTAAAAGTAAAGCTAAATCAGTAAAGAAAATATTAGTTTTACATACTATATACAAAATTAAATTAAAAAAAAAATCTATATACAAAACTCTTGAAAACTTGCCAGGACACTTAAATCTACGTACAATTGTAAAATATAAATATACACTTTTAGAAAAAAAAAAGAAAGTCGAATCTATAATAAGTATTTAAGTTATGAGCTATATGTGAATATATTATGACAAATAATATGTAATTTTACATAAAAGGTTAGCGGGTATCTGACTGTTTGTGGGACAGGAATTGGAATAGGAGCGTTTTGAATGTAGATAGGGATGAAGAATGCCGAATTTTGATAGGAAGGGAATTCCAAAATTTAACAGAGCGAGCTATGAAGGAGTTTTGGAACGAGGCAGATCTGTGAGAAGGAATGTAAAGGTCGGAAGGTCGAGATCTTGTGGAAAGGGAGTGGACTGAGGATTTGAATTGGAGAAGGTTGTAGGCTTAAGAAGGACGATGATTATTGATGATATGATGGAGGAATGTACCTAGGAAATATTGTCTTCGGATGGAGGGGAAGAGCCACTCTAACTCAGAGTAGTGGTGAGAGACATGGTAGTATTTCGGGGCACCAATTACAAATCTCATGCAAATGTTCATTAATCTTTTTAGTAATTTACTTGGGAAAATGAGAGAATTTCTTGAGAAATTTATTTTATTTTATTTTTATTTATGTAGAAATATAATTTGTCATGTGGACAATAATTATAGTGAGATATGAACACATTCACACCATGTATACA